TTATTTTATTATTTACTTATTTACCTATTTTTTTTATTTATAGATTTTTTATGGGTATTTCAAACAGAACATCTCAAACAATAATATGTATAATCTACAACCCAAATGGCACCCTCCCATAGCTTCCTCCCCCACTGGATCCTATATACTCTGTCATCCATGTTACTTTCCACTATGTTATCAGTGCACCCAGCTGTAACCCAGTGCAAGTTCATCAGCTGAGTCTATTTAGCATATCAACAGTTCCTTTTTTGGGGAAGACCAGTACTTCCTCATTCAGCAGGAACCAGTTGCTAAAATTCCTTTAGATAAGATTGGGGTCTGCTCTTCTTTTTCCCATTTCTATGCTGGGTTACTGTCTGGGAGTCTCATGGGCCACCCTGGCCAATAACTCAAAGGAAGGTATCTCCTGGCTGGCTTTGTTTCTTGTTATGCAGCCTTTAAATATACACATGGACTCTTAAAGAATTATATTGATCACTTTAACCTTTGGTTATACTTTCCTTTTGAGTGTTTAAGACCACACAGTTGGTCCAGATTAACGAACTTATTTTTACTATTAAGGTCAGTGGAGGATCTGTTCCTCAGGGGTCACTTCTTTTCAAATTGTACTCCTTTAATTTCCTTCTCTTGTTTTATTGCTATTGCAAGAATTTCAAGCACTATGTTAAAGAGAAGTGGAGATAGTGGACAGCCTTGTCTGGTTCCTGATTTTAATGGGAATGCTTCCAGTTGTTCTCTATTTAGAATGATGTTGGCTGTGGGTTTGTTATATGTGGCTTTAATTATGTTGATATATGTTCCCTCCAGTCCAGTTCCCTCTAGGACTTTGATCATAAATGCATGTTGAATTTTGTCAAAGGCCTTCTCTGTATCTATTGAGATGACAATGTGGTTCTTGTCTTTGAAGCCATTTATGTGCTTTATGACATTTATGTGACTTACATATATTGGACCATTCCTGCATTACTGGAATAAAGCCAACGGGATCATGGTGGATGACCTTTTTGATGTTTGTCTGTATGTGGTTTAAAAGTATTTTGTTGAGGATTTTTGCACATATATTCATTAAGGTTATGGGTCTATAGTTTTCTTTTTTTTGGTTGTATCTTTGGTTTTTGGTATTACAGTGGTTCTAGATTCATAGAAGGAATTTGGGCATTCTTTCTCTGCTTCTACCATTTTGA